AAGGGCGAAGGGCGCCCGGGGCGGGGGAGGGGGAAGCCGAGGAGGGAGCAGCAGCAGGGGGAGCCCGAGGGCTCCTGTCTAAGATGGGGAGTGAGCAGCTGGGGGCACATCTGGCCCCAAGGTCAGCCCTCCACAACCAGAAATGCCAAACCAGCACCTGAACACCAGGCTGCACGCTAAAGGAAATACATTTCAGGTGAGATCAGATGTGGAAATAAGACTAACCAAGCCAATGGGACACTAGTATGAGATTTCAAGTGACACATCCCAGTCCACCTGCAGCACACCTTCACCCCTTGCAGTAAAACAAAAGCCACAGCCACAAGCTGTTACAAAGCTCCAGCTACAAATTTAACATGCGTCATTTAACACAAACTTCCTCCAGCTCATCCAAAAGCGACTAAGGAGCATTTAAACAAGAGAAAGGACACAGCCCATGTCTTACTCTGATCCTGAGCAACTGCCTAGCACACACTGAACTCTACAGCCGGAACAACTGGGAAAAACTAAGGAGCATTTGAACAAGAGAAAGGACACAGACCATGTCTTACTCTGATCCTGAGCAATTGCCTAGCACGCACTGAACTCTACAGCCGGAACAACTGGGAAAGCAAGAAAAGCTTCTCACTTTACAGCTCAGGGTCTTCCCCACCAGCACCAAGCTCTCCATTGCTGTTGAAGGTCTCAAGCAGAAGATGCACAGCTTGGCCCTCTGCGATCCCTCTGTTTTGCCACAACTGCCCCTGCTGACTTTGAAGGACTTTTTTTTCTCCTCCTGCCAACCTTTCAGGCAAGGACCTTCCTGATCATCAAAACTATGAGTACTTCAACCACCACAGCCTGGTCTGACACAGCCTCTTCCCACACCCAAAGGAGGAACAGGAAAGTCCCTGATGCAAAGGCCAACCTTCCTTCAGGTACTGGAAAGCTGCATTCAAGTCCCCATCTATCCATATCTAATATGGGAAACCTCACTATAAAAGGCTAAATCTCAACAAAGTTACAGGCATCCCAAACAGGGTTTTGTAGTGGAAAGCAGCCAGCTTTACTTATGGGACACATGACTTTTTCTTTTTTTAGTTTTCAAAGTCTGCACTCGCTGAATGTTCCTGCGCTGCAGCGAAGCCAGCGGCGAGGCAAGAAGCTGGTGGTACTACTAGTCATACCTTTGCTTATTTAAAGTGTTCAGGGATTTTAGACAGCGGAGCACACAAACCAGGGGACACTTCCCAGGATGAAGCTAATATTATATATGTATTTCTTCTTTTTTTCCCCTACAATACTTGCTTGTGAGATTCCTCCACCCCAGCTAAGGCTGCTCAAAGAAGCCGGAACTTCCTAAGCGTGCAAAAATGACAAAAGAACTGTGGTTACTAAGTATAAATTACCATATTTCATCCCTCTTAGAAGTTTCCTGTGGGATGATGAACATATTCTGTCAATTAGTCAGGCCACATGAACTTGAACACCCTTCTGGATTCATTCAGCCAGATCCTCAATGGGGACTTCAGAGCTGCCAAAATTTGCCACAGTCTTCTCCAAAGCCTTGCATCTGCCAGAGCTTGTTGCCA